CAACTTTTGGAGCCAAAATTAGGGCAATTTAGTAATTTAGGTAGTTATTCACATTTTCCTTCCTAAAATCCTCCCACTTTTGGAGGGATTAAAAATGGTGGGACCCACCAATTATAATTTCCTTTCAATTTTCTTTTCCTTCCCAATTTCCTTTCTACCAAACAAGTTAATTTACTAATTTCCATCCTAAAATCCCTCTTAACATTTTCTTTCTTTCCACTTTTCATTCATACCAAACATAGTGTTAGAGCGGATACGAGCTATGCGTGATAGGAAAATGAGAGAAACGATCATGGAATGAAAGTGCCAAATTTTAAATAAAGTTTTTAATTTTAATTTTTATTGTTTTGGAACTCTGGTTTATGGTGGTTTTGATTTGAAGAATATTTTAGATTTTTTTTAGGTTTATTTCATGGTATGGATTTTAATAATTAAGTTGAACTGAAAGGTTATTTGTTTTATCTGTAACGACCCCTCACGGATCGTCATAGTTATCTTAACTTTCAAACATTTACCTCTTAAAGAATGCGGAAAATATTTAAGCTTGAAACACTTTACTTCGAATGACTTAAAGAAAAACTAGATTTTTTTTATAAAAAAAAAAAAAAAAAAAAAAAAAAAAAAAAAAAAAAACATATTATAACTTTAAACATTTTGAACTTCCTCAAAGAAAAAAAAAAACCTTTCGGTTCAACTTAATTATTAAAATCCATACCGTGAAATAAACCTAAGAAAAAATCTAAAATATTCTTCAAATCAAAACCACCATAAATCAGATTTCCAAAACAATAAAAATTAAAAATAAAAAACTTTATTTAAAATTTAGCACTTTCATTCCATGATCGTTTCTCTCGTTTTCCTATCACGCATAGCTCACATCCACTCCAAGATTCTCCACGCCTACATCTTACCCTTTAGATTGTCAGTAACATGAAATAACTCATATAAGCAATGGCTTAGTAAGACACTTAAATCTCACAAATGTGAATGAATATTTTTACTCATCAACAATAAACATCATCATGAGAATAATTATTTTTGAACATGTTTAAACTTTAAAATCCATCATATATTGGGCCCGACATTTCACCATCATAGCGCACTAGCTACGGAAAGCATGGGGTAGCAAATCTCATACTAACTGTGACAATAAGACCGCTCACCGGTCACCATTAAGGGTGTACAATGCCATTTAAAAACGTAAAAATACATATATACATTTTTCTTCAAAACGTCATCATAAGAGGATTATTAAAAACGTCATAATATCATCATAAACATCAAAATCGTATACTTCTCAATTCTTCAATTCATGTTGTAGGTGAGAGTGTACTTACATGAGCGTCTTACTTAACCTTTTAAAATTTCTCAACCTTTTGATTGGTTGATACAAGTAAAGCATTTGGTTTAATTAAGACATGTAAGAGAGGATGAGAGTTTTTGGAGTGACATAGTGGTCCCGTTCATTTCACCGATTCGAGTTTTGCTACAGTAAAAAGTTCTCAGAAACAGTCACATCTAACTTTTTTACTATAGTAAAAAGCTCTCACAAAAAATCACATCTCAACTCAAATTAGACTAAACGGCCCTGGTAGAGTTTGTTAAAAATCTCTCAAGTGAAATGCAGCTTCCTATGTCATCTTTAAGACCTTAACGTAAAAGGCAGTCCTCGAATTTTCAGAAGAATGTTACAAATTGGATCAGTACTCTAATGAAATCCCTAGAATCAATCCCAAATCTTAAGAAAATAAAACACAAAGAAGCACACTGAAGACTTTGATCTTTTATTGAATCTTGCAACAATTACACAAAATTAAAATACACCTTTGAGAATTCTCAGAGAAAAAATCCCCAGAGCCTCTCTCTACCCTCCCAAAACACTCGTTGGTAATTTCTTAATCATAGGACATTTATAACAGCTCTCTGTCCACTAGACGCATGCCACCTGGCTAACTAACTAACTAAGCTTACTTAGATTCCCTTATTTTCAATTCTGTTACAATATTAAGACCTTTAGAATATAGAACCAACTTCTTATCAATTCATGGAGTAGAAAATGGCAGGTATAAGGCAAAATTGGTTGCGAAAGGATAAGAAAATAGTTTGGAAGTTGTACATTGATTCCTTCCTATGTTGTTGGCCCCTTCATTTGTCCTAAGCTCCCTAGCTCTGTTCGTTGTATTACAAATGATTTTTGGTATGTCATGTAATTAGTGCTGGAACTTTGGACGGGCTGCCCGTGACCGCCCAAAAATACCGAGTTTTTGCCCGAGCCCGACCCGCCCGAGCCCGAAAATGCCATTGAACGGGCCGCATGGCCGGGCAGCCCGAGCCCGCCCGAATAGCCCAAATTTTTTTTAATAAGTTTTATAATTATTAAGTTAGTTTGTGTTAAAATTATATAAAAATCAAAATCAACATTCAACAGATATTATTAACACAATTGAATAAATTAATCATGTATATTAAATTCATAATTCATGATTGCCTTGTTAAAACCCTTACCAAGAAAAACCCAATTGGGATAAAAACTTGACAAGGAAAAAAGAGTGCAATCATTTTGTGACGAATTACAAATTTTACAAACTTACAAAGTTATACAATTACAAATACAATGTCAAAAGTAAATACATATTTACAAATTACAAATTTACAATTTAATTTAAAGCTGAAGGATCGTCTTCAAAATTAAATGTTAATCGATTAAATAGTACCGAATCAACACTCAAGAGAATTATTTATCTACTTCTTTCTCAAGAAGGAATGGATTCCATCTCGTATAATAACATTCCCAGCTACCTATTTCATCATGTCTCCAAAATACAAAGAATATGATTCAAGGTCTCGGAATTTGTACTGAGTAAATCAAAAGACATAAATCCATAAATAAGAGTTTGTTAAGAACTCAGAATTAAGATCATTCTATATATGACCATCGGTAGACTCAATTAGAATTTCTATGCTTAACGGAAATTATTATAAATTCATATTGTGTCTGTGTCCCTGTTCCACACAATCTCATTATGCGAAATACACTCATTCAATAGCTCACCATATTAACAGTGTGGATAGCACCGTTCCATTCTAAATGGGAATGACATGTATTAATAATGTTTTAATTAAAGATTACGAACTTTAATTAAATTCATTATGAACGATGTTTTTTATTATTATCCTTAAACAATATCCTCTCGTATATAACACTTATATACTATGTTTAAGGTTACATAAATAATCATGGAATTTTGATTTGATATTCATAAATATATGCACATAAAATGATGAATAAACTCTTTTATTAATTAAATAATAAATATCCTATTACATCTTATGCTTCTAGGACACTATTCCCAACACGGCCCTCTCCTGAGCTCTCCTCCTGGTAGCTCGTTGTCTGCTCCCCACAGATTTATTCGACCTGGCTTGATGGGGGTTGTTGGCCCCACTGTCACCCACCCCCTCGACGTCACCACGTCGATCACCAATTACTTGGTTCCTGACGGCGGCGTTCACCGGGTTCATCGGCACATCCTCTAACAGCGGCATGGGATCTGGCCTTTGTTCCCGTCCGGCGAGGGCTGTAGCCATCCTTTCTACAGCCACAGCCAGTGTTTTAACCTGCCTTTGGAGCTGGTCAAGGCGGTCTGGGGGGTTTCCAGCGGCCTGTGGTTGCGCCCCTTGGTTGGGTCGTGTCCCTGCTGGTTCTTGGCCGCCGTTGGGCGGATTCGTCGGATTCTTTCCTCCGACAACATGGCTCTGGCCCTCCTGGCTTTTCTGAGTTGCCGTCACGCTGTGGGTATTTCTCGGAGCCATATTCACTCTGCTGGATTGATTTATGGGTTTTGGGCCCTCCTTCTAGCGCCAATTGTTGACGGTAGATTTCAGTCAACAAGGAATTAACTCTCCGAGAACACTCGCAATAATCTCTCACGTATTAATTAGGGATTAATAATGGTGCATAAGATAAAGGAGACATGAATTTATAGTGGTTCGGCTAATATTCTTTGCCTAATCCACTTGTGAATGCACTAATGCTTTCTTGATTACAAACTCTCTCTGGAGTAGTATAGTAGAGTGTGTGTAAAAACTTAATGAATTCCCATGGCTCTTATTTATAGGTCTTATACACACGAGAGACCCCCTCTACATTTCCCGAGGAGATCATCATCAATCCCTTAATTCTAGGATTTAGCAGTTGTACCAGCTACCTAATTTCATGACTTCAGCAGTAGTAGTTGATACAGTATATCTTTCCTTGAGTTGACAGGACTATCTACTGGATTAGACAGGGCCACCTCCTCGACGTCGTGGCATTTGCCACATCTTCGGGGCCCTCGACGCGCGTCATCACGCATGAACTCTCAACGTATGAAGGGCACCTTAGCTACAGTTGATCCCTCGACGCCAGTGACCGATTCTTGTCATGGAGACCTCAGCGCTTGTCGTCCAAAGGAGTAGTCAATTCCTCAACCGTGGTGTAACACCTTATAATTTAAATCAAACAACACTTATGAAACAAATATGACGATGTTGACAAATAAATTCTCTCATAATATTGAGCCTCATATTATATATTCGACAGAAAGAGAAATCTTTTAATGTGACAACCCATTCTTGAATTATTGAGTGCAATAATAATTTAAATCAAGAAACAAGTATGACGTTATTGACAAATAAATTCTCTTACAGTATCCAGTCTCATAATATACATGACACCAACTTAGTTAAATTTTTTGTGACTTTGTGGCGTGTCCCACCGTAAGACTTCTCCGCTATCTATAACGATTAAAGTTATTTTCTTTATTGCATTCTTATTTGTTTGTATGTGTATATATCTAATACCTAATAACACCCAACCTTTTCTCAAAATAAATGGCAATGGAGACAATCATGACTTTTCTAATGCGCATTGTAATGAGTGGAATTGTGCAGACCAACAAAAAGGGTTTTACGAGGCAATGACCAACTAGAAATTGACCCGCTACAAAGTGGGGAGGAATCTTTCACCCAAAGTAAACAGAGGGAAACCATTAACGCATTTGGACCTCAATATTATTATCTTTAAAAACTGTTCATCATCTTTCAAGGATATTTCACTACTCAAAATCCCAATTTTCATTCATTTACTTTAAAATTATTATAGAGAGGATGGAGAGTGAGAAAGGCACAGTATGTGTAACAGGTGGTACGGGATACATAGGATCTTGGTTGATATTGAGACTTCTTGATCATGGTTACTCTGTCAGAACCACTATTAGATCTAATTCAGGTGATTCTTTTTTTTTTTTTTTTTTTTTTTTTTTTTTTTTTTAGGGAAGAAAGGTTTATTTCACTTGTGAATTGTGAATAATCATACTGAAATTTTTTGGATTCTCGTTGAGGTTGTAATGCTTATTTGTGGGTTGACGTGTGGAAGATATTTATTATTTAATTTACTTTATCGGTAAAAATAAAATAAGAGAGATGCAGAGAAAAAGGTTGTCTGTGGATAATTTTCCATTTTTATTTAGAGATTTAAATAACAGAATAAAGTATATCCCAACTTTCAATCACGTCTGGATTTATATAGGCAGAAAAAAGTATATCCCGCCTGAAAAAGTGTAAACCCACAAGGTCCCCCATACATATTTTAACACATCTTAAAGAAATATCCAAATATTGTAATGTTGGGACCAAGTTTGTTCGGTAAGAGAGAAAAGTGGAAAAAAAAAATAGAGTGACAGGATTAGTGAAAGAATTTCAAACCCTTCAAATCCTTTAAATAAGCTTAATTTTAATCTCTTGAGATGGAGGGATTTGAATAGGGAATCCATAACCAATATATAAGATTGTGTTTGCTAACAGGGAAAAAAAAAGTATATAACCTGGGTGAGGAAATTGAGGAAAAAAAAAAAAAAAGAATGCCCTTCTTTTATATATTGACCCTCTCTAATATGTCGTTGGGAGATATCAAAATTGGGTTTTTAAAATCCCTCACTCAATCAACTCCTTTCCTCTCCTAATCCTTCTCCTACACTCCACACACCTCTCCGTCCTTTCACTTTTCCCTCCTGCCAAATAAGCTCTAAGATAAAGGTCCTTTTTTTTTTTTTCTCTCCATTTTCCTCAGCTAGGTTATATATCTTTCTTTCTTTTTATTTTCTTTTCTTCTTACCAAACACAACTCTTGTGGTGTAAGTCCATCTAAATGGAGGTAGGGGTTCAACTTTCTGTCACCACAAGAGCAAAAATTTGTAGAATATTTAGTATAAGATCTTACTAAAAAAGCAAAGCAGCACATATAATTATATATAGAAAGTATTTGTTAAAAAAAATAAAAAATAAATAAAAGAGAGAGAAAGTGACATTGACGTTGAAATTGTGGCAGCAGAGCACAAGAAAGACCTTGGCTTTCTCACGAGTCTACCGGGAGCATCAGAAAAGCTCAAGATCTTCGATGCAGATCTCAACGACCCAGAAAGTTTCCGCGCAGCCATCGAAGGGTGCATCGGAGTCTTTCACGTCGCCACTCCGGTTGATTTCTTTGGCAAAGACACGGAGGAAGTAGTGATCAAAAGATCATCTGAGGGAGCAACTGGGATCTTAAAGGCATGCCTAGAAAATTCTAAAACGGTGAAGAAACTTGTCTACACTTCAAGTGCCTCTGCTGTTGGCTTAAATGGCAATAATTCAGATGAACTGGATGAGAGTGTTTGGAGTGATATAGATTATGTTAAATCTTTAAGATCACCCGGACTTTCCTATGCGATTTCCAAGACCTTAACTGAAAGAGCAGTTCTTGAATTTTCAGAAAAACATGGTTTTGAGGTTGTCACATTAGTTCCTTCTATTGTTGTTGGCCCCTTCATCTGTCCTAAGTTCGCGGGATCTGTCCAATTCACACTGGGATTGCTCTCTGGTAAGCACTGCCTTTCTACAACAAGTCATTGTTGTTTTAACTGTATTCTTAAAAACATAAGATTTAGCTTTAGCAATGTCCTATATATGGAATAATCGATCTTGTTTTGCTATAATTGCACATATTTCGTACTAGACCAATGTAGTACTAAATTAATGCGCCAACAGAAAATTTTAGCATGAGTAGAAAAATATTTTTCAATTCAACGCTATTTTTGTTGCTAAATTTAGCATATGTCATGCTTGTCAGATTTAGTGCATATAGTAAAAATTTTGCCATTTGATCACTATTCTTTCATATTGAGCTTTTCATTTCATCATTCAACATTGTGATTTTCAAATTCTTTGAAACTAAAGGTTTATTGTTACGAGTTTCAGAGCTTAAAATTATGACGAAAAGCAGTAGCATTATGCAGCATAAAATAGAATAACGCAAAAAATATGTCAATTTTTACTTTTTAGTGTCATATATAGCATTGGAAATGGTCTAAGAGAGACGGGCTGCACACGTTGGCTCTCCTTTGCATGACCCACCCTATACTATATAGTTAATGTGGCGCCTCGCACCATTTGAAGGCTTGAAGCTGAAAAACACTATTCCTAATAAGATGAAATCAGTGGCAACACAAAGTCCTGATTTATGTTATTCATTTCCTAATGTTCACTAGTTTTTTTCTCATAATTTCTTTGGTTCCTTGTTTAAGTAGCTTCAATTCATAATTGCGCAGGTAAGATGAAGAACGTCGAATCAAGTTCTCTTGCGAGTATAGATATGGTGCATGTAGATGATGTTGCGCGAGCCCACATTTTCCTATTTGAACATCCTGAGGCAAAAGGGAGGTACAATTGTTCATCAAACGCCATAACAGTTGAAAGTGCATCTCATTTGCTTTGTTCCAAGTATCCGGAACTTCAAGCACACAGAAAAGAGTCAGTTCAATTTTTTATTTTTTACTTTTTTTATTGATTCTCTCTCATTAGTTTGTTTGAAGAATCTTCTTTTTTTTTTTTTTTTTTTTTTGAAAAGTTTGAATGTGAAAATTTCAAAAACATTCTCACTGATCTATAAATATATAAGTTCTTTTTGTGCAGTTCTGAGAAGGATCAAACCAAAAGCTTGAAGCTACTGCCAAGTCTCTCATCGAAGAAGCTCCTAGATTTAGGTTTCAAATTCAAGTATGGTGTTGAAGAAATGCTTGATGATGCTGTTAAATGTTCTAAAGAAAAGGGTTATCTGTAGTTTTTTTTTTTTTTTTTTTATTAAAAAAACAAAAAAAAAAAAAAAAAAAAAAAAAAAAAAAAAACACTTTCAGGGACTTGTGGTTTCTTTAGACGATGGCTACTTCTCCTCTGTGTCTGAAACTTCTTACCATGTATATTCAACATTATGCACCCCCTCAAGAGGCAATAAAGTACTGTAAGATATCTTTAAAAATATAATTTGTTAGCTTGACAATTACAAATGGGGCAAAATTGATGAGATAGAAGAAGATGATTATACTAGATATGATTGACTTTGACAAATTTCCAAATTTTAGTTAGTACTTATTAGTTACGCCATGACATAGACATGGTTAGGACTTTTGTTAAAAATTGAAAAACAGGTACTCTTGGCAATTGGCTTTTATGATGGAGATCATACGTGATTTTGGTTGTTTGATTGTTCCGAATATAAAATGGCTTACTAATTGGATCCTAATATGAAATGTTTTGCTGATGGAAATCAGAATTTTTGGCAAGAAAATTTTATAAAATATTTGGGAGATTTGATGTTATGGTTGACATTGTTGTTTATTTGATTGATTCTAATTGGGAAAGAAATGTTGTTGATTGCTTTTTGGTGCTGAGATCATTAACGTGATAGCTAGGAGACTTAAAAAAGTGGTGTGGCTGAACGTACTGTTGCGGTGAGGACGATTGAACGTGAAAAAGTTGGCTTTTTGTATTGAGAAATAACACTTTTCAGATAGTGAGGGCCGTGTTTATGATTCAATGTGTTTTGAGAGAAACTTTCGGAGAAAAAGTCTGTATGTAAACTTTTGATTTGTGAGTGCAAAAGTGTGTTCTTTGGGAGGAGAACGTATTGTTTTTAGAAGAAAGCCTTCGAAGACGAGCGATGCACACTGGATAATACATCTAAAAAGATTCTTCACAATGGCGACATCTACGAATGAGTCTTTGAGTGTGTAAGACCATAGAGTATTTGTAATCATTTCATCTTAGTGGTTTGTTCATGGTCTGGGCTTAGTCCCGCGGATGTAGGTGTGCACACCGAACCGCGATACCATTTTTTTCCTTACTGCATTATTTTTTTTCCTGCTTGATTAGTTATTTATTGTTGAATCTAAAATACAATTTATTACAGGTGTTACAGAAAGTGTTATAACACTCTTTGATAACAAGGAGACTTGGAGACTTGGAAAAAAATACAATCCTCAGATCATTAACGTGACAGCTAGGAGACTTGGAAAAGTGGTGTGGCTGAACATATTGTTGCAGTGAGGAGGATTGAACGTGAAAAAGTTAGCTTTTTGTATTGAGAAATAATGTGCGTGTTTGAAACTATTTTTGAAAATGGTTGTCACGTATTTCGAGAAGTAAAATATGAAAATGAAAGCGAAACGATATTTGTTTAGCAAATGTTTTGAAAACGAAAATGAAAACAATGAGAGTGGTTTTATGGATGAATTAGAAAACAATTGAAGGTTGTTTTCACTTTTCTGTTTTTATTTTTTAGTACGTATCAACAATATTATAATATATTAGTTAATAAACACGACTTCACTTTTTTATTATACTCAAAACAATCTCTTAAGAAACCAACCAAACGCAATTTCAGAATCGGTCCCAAAATAATCTTAAAACAATCTCATTTTTACTTTTTATTGAAAACAAAATCATTTTGAAACCAATTCTAAACGTACCCAATACTTTTCAGATAGTAAGGGCTGTGCTTATGATTCTATGTGTTTTGAGAGAAACTTTCAGAGAAAATGTCTCTGTATGTAAACTTTTGATTTATGAGTGCAAAAGTGTGTTCTTCGGGAGGAGAATATTTATTTTTCGGGAGAAAGCCTTTGAAGACAAGTTATGCTCACTGGGCAAGACCTTTAAAAAGATTCTGCACAATAGCGACATGACAAGGAGGGGTTTTTTGAGTGTGTGAGACCGTAGAATGTTTGTAATCATTTCATCTTAGTGGTTTGTTCACTATCTGGACGTGGCCCCGCGGATGTAGGTGTGCGTCCCGAACCGTGATACCATTGTCTTCCTTACTGCATTATTTTTTTTCCTAATTGATTGGTTATTTATTGTTGAATCTAAAATACAATTTATTACGGGTGCTACAGAAAGTGTTATAACACTCTTTAACAGCCAGAAGACTTAGAGACTTGGAAAAAATACAATCCTGAGATCATTAACGTGACAGCTAGGAGACTTGGAAAAGTGGTGTGCTGAACATGTTGTTGTGGTGAGGAGGATTGAACGTGAAAAAGTTGGCATTTTGTATTGAGAAATAATACTTTTCAGATAGTAAGGGTTGCGCTTATGATTCTATGTGTTTTGAGAGAAACTTTCAGAGAAAAAGTCTCTGTCCATTAACTTTTGATTTGTGAGTGCAAAAGTGTGTTCTTTGAAAGGAGAACGTATTGCTTTCGGAAAAAAGCCTTCGAAGACGAGTGACGCTCATTGGACAATACATCTAAAAAGATTCTTCACATCGTTGACATCGATAAGGAGGGAGTCTTTGTGTGTGTAAGACCGTAAAGTGTTTTCATCTTAGTGGTTTTTCACTGTCTGGACTTGGCCCCGTGGATGTAGGTGTGCGCACTGAACCGCGATACTATTTTTTTCCTTACTGCATTATTTTTTTCCCGCTTGATTAGTTATTTATTGTTGAATCTAAAATACAATTTATTATAGGTATTACAGAAAGTGTTATAACACTCTTTGACAGCTAGGAGACTTGGAGACTTGGGAAAAATACAATCCTGAGATCATTAACGTGACAAATAGGAGACTTGGAAAAGTGGTGTGGCTGAACGTATTGATAAGGTGAGGAGGATTGAACGTGAAAATTTTGGCTTTTTGTATTGAGAAATAATGTGCGTGTTTGGAACCGTTTTCTAAAACGGTTTTAATAAAAATGAAAGCGAAACGACATTTGTTTAGCAATTATTTTGAAAACGAAAATAGTGAGAATGGTTTTTATGAAGGAATTATAAAACAATTGAAAGTTATTTTCACTTTTCTGTTTTCATTTTTTAGTACTTATCAACAATATTATAATATATTAGTTAATAAACACGATTTCACTTTTTTATTATACTTAAAATAATCTCTTAAAAAACCAACCAACGCAATTTCAGAATCGGTCCCAAAATGATTTTAAAACAATCTCATTTTTACTTTTTATTGAAAATAAGATCATTTTGAAACCAATTCTAAATGCACCCTACTTTTCAGATAGTGAGGACTATGCTTATGATTCTATGTGTTTTTAGAGAAACTTTCGGAGAAAAAGTCTCTGTATGTAAACTTTTGATTTGAGAGTGCAAAAGTGTGTTCTTCGGGAGGAGAACGTATTGTTTTCGGGAGAAAGCCTTCGAAGACGAGCGATGCTCACTGGACAAGAAATCTAAAAAGATTCTTCACAATGGCGACATGAAGGAGCGAGTCTTTGAGTCTGTAAGACCATAGAGTGTTTGAAATCATTTCATCTGAGTGGTTTGTTCACTGTCTGGGCGTGACCCCGCGGATGTAAGTGTGCGTATCGAACCACGATACCATTTTTTTTCTTTACTGCATTATTTTTATCTTGCTTGATTAGTTATTTATTGTTGAATCTAAAATACAATTTATTACAGGTGTTACAGAAAGTGTTCTAACACTCTTTGACCGTTAGGAGACTTGGAAAAAATACAATCCTGAGATCATTAACGTGACAGCTAAGAGACTTGGAAAAGTGGTGTGGTTGAACGTATTGTTGCGATGGGGAGGATTGAACGTGAAAAAGTTGGCTTTTTGTATTGAGAAATAATGTGGGTGTTTAGAACCGTTTTTAAAAACAGTTTTCACGTATTTCGAGAAGCAAAAAATGAAAATGAAAGCGAAACGACGTTTGTTTAGCAAATGTTTTGAAAATGAAAACGCAAATGAAAACAGTGAGAGTGGTTTTTATGAAGGAATTAGAAAACAATTGAAGGTTGTTTTCACTTTTCTATTTTCATTTTTTAGTACTTATCAACAATATTATAATATATTAGTTAATAAACACGATTTCACTTTTTTATTATACTCAAAACAATCTCTTAAAAAACCAACCAACGCAATTTCAGAATCGGTCCCAAAATGATCTTAGAACAATCTCATTTATACTTTTTATTGAAAATAAAATCATTTTGAAACCAATTCTAAACGCACCCAGTACTTTTCGGATAGTGAGGGCTGTGCTTAAGGTTCTATGTGTTTTGAGAGAAACTTTCGGAGAAAATGTCTCTGTATGTAAACTTTTGATTTGTGAGTGCAAAAGTGTGTTCTTCGGGAGGAGAACGTATTATTTTCGGGAGAAAACATTTGAAGGCGAGTTATGTTCACTGGCAAGACCTCTAAAAAGATTCTTCACAACAATTACATCGACAAGGAGGGAGTTTTTGAGTGTGTAAGACTGTAGAGTGTTTGTAATCATTTCATCTTAGTGGTTTATTCACTGTCTGTGCTTGGATCCGCAGATGTAAGTGTGCGCACTGAACCGCATACTATTTTTTTCCTTACTGCGTTATTTTTTTTCATGCTTGATTTAGTTATTTATTGTTGAACCTAAAATACAATTTATTGCAGGTGTTACAGAAAGTATTATAACACTCTTTGTGATACCTGCCGGAAAAAAAAAAAAAAAAAAAAAAAAAAAAAAAAAAAAAAAAACTAACCTTTGAGACATGACGGCAAAACTATTGGAAATAGGTTGTAAACATTTGCCAAGCTGTAGTTAAGATGATTGGAGGTTGTTCGTTTAGGGTGCTAAACTTAAGAAAACTCAATTTGAGTCTCATTTCTAGCCCAAGTTTGTGTTTATTGGGGACAAACTCGAGTTAAGACTCAAGTGAAGCATTATTTTTTGAGTTGATCTCCCTCCCCTTGATTTACGAAACTCAGTTCTAAAAAAAGTTAGGGAATAGTATTTTTTTTTTTCAAAATGTCAAAATGTTAACTTTTTTATTTTAATACCGATTGAGATAATTTATTTGTCTATGTGTTCACAATGAAGAGACGAATAAAACTATATCCATATACCATATTAAAATTTTTCATCACCATTGAGTTTTTATTAAAATACTGTTTAAATACAAATTTAAATTTTGACCCACCCAAACACAAATTCAAATAGACTCACAATTCAAATCATAACTCAAAATGTGCACATCTAAATACAAAGTTAAATTAGAGTTT